ACTGATATGGTTACATCCAAACATATGCAGTTATTTCTTAAAACCAAAAATTGAAAATAACACATGGTCAAATGTATAAAGTCATATGCGGAGCAGTATAAGTGAGAGCTGCTGGGAATATCTGTATGCTGGCCTGAAATGATCAAAATTATATAATACGAAAAAATTATACGTATTCAACAGAAGTGAGATAGTCCCAGATAAATCTTTTGAATGAATATGTAACTGAAAATTTGGAAAAAAATAAATGCATAAATGGTACCCAGATATAAAAAATATCAGCCAAGTGGTATGCACATAATTATGTAGCACTTAAATTGTACGTATACTAGTGACATATAAGCCGAACATCCAGTTATGTAGATTTTTAGATAAATTTGTATAAGTACTTAATGAATCATAATAAGTAAATGATAAAAATTTCAAAATGATTGCACTGCTTTAAAGCCCTTTGACCTTTAATAATGTGTGGATGCAACCTGATGTGCTACGCATTCTCCAACGCGCCTAGGCATGCTTCTGATCAGGTGGTCAATGTCCTTCTGTGGTATCTCATTCCAGGCAACCACCAACTCCTCTCGAAGTGCTTCTAGAGTCTGAGGAGAACGTTGCAAGTTGAGCAATCTCCTACCCACCATACCCCACACGTGCTCAATTGGGGATAAGTCGGGAGATCTTGGTGGCCATGGTAACAATGTGACATCATTATGTTGAAAGAAGTCTATTGTGACTCTTGCAACATGTGGTCGGGCATTATCTTGTTAGAAAGTTGGATCTGCCAGGGTGTCAAGATAGGGTAAAAGATTGGGTTCTAGAACTTCGTGGATATAACGCTACGCGTTCATGTTACCTCTGATGAAGATTAAAGGTGACCTGGAACCATAAGCTATAGCACCCCAAACCATAACTCCAACAGTGTGATAAACATGTCTTTCAACAAAAAACTGTGGATTCCTCCTTTCACCACGTCGCCTTCTAACCCTGGCACGACCATCGTGCATGCCTAAACAAAATCGAGACTCGTCACTAAAGACAATACTGTTCCATTCCTGATCCCAGAGTGACCGTTGTCTGCACCACTCAAGGCGATTACGTCGGTGTTATCGAGTTAAAGGGAGGACCCAGTGTGGCCGGTATGAAAACAAGCCAAAACTTTTCATTCGTCGGTAAACACATCGCATGCCAATAGGTCTTCCGTGTTCTGCAAACCATTAATTTGCAATGGACCTGGTAGTGGAGAAACGGTCCCTTAAGGCCAATAATCTTAGGCCGCGATCTTCACGGTCTGTTGTTCTACGGCGGCGTCCAGTGCCCCTTGCTCTTTGCGTACGGCCTTCTCGAAGCCATGCCTGACAACACCTAACCACAGTGTCTACACTTCTTTGCACTCTAACTGCAATAATACACCTGGTGATGAAGATAGTAAATATGTTTTTAAAGAGTATCTTTGGGCTCGATCGAATTATTTGGTTGTTCGAAGTGTTTTCTTTTTGTGAAACGGTTTGTCCTATTGTGTTCTTAAAATGAATGATACCAATTTCGAGCAACGGTGTGCTATCAGGTGTTGCCCTCACACTTGGGCACAGTGCAACAGAAACTCTTGCTAAGCAGCAGGCCTACGGGGATAATGTTTGGCCAAGAGTCCAGGGCTTTCGGTAGTTTAGGGCATTTTCAGAAGGGAGAGAGTCGATTGAAGGTGAACCACGAAGCGGAAGGACTTTATCTTCAAGAATCGATCAAAACATCGACAGAATCCGGGATCTTATGCGATCAGATCGTCGGTTGGCAGAATGATCCAGAAATAGTTAAATTTGACTCACACCACCGTTCCTGAGATCAAGAACAACTGGGCATTGCATCACGATAATGCTCCTTGTCAATAAACGAGTGTTTGGTGATTTAAAATATTTCTGTGGCTCCTCAGCTTCCTCATTTACCCGAATTGAGTCCTTGTAACCAACCAGCTGAAAGCTATTCCAGTATCGAGTTCCATCACTGCTATGAGGAGTGGAAGAACCATCTCCAGCGCAGTGTGGCTTCAGAAGGAAGTTATTTTGATTACTTAATTTACGGAACTCGTATGCTAGCCAAGTTACATAGAAGCCATGTGGACTGACTGGCTGATGCTGTCGTTAACGCTTCCCTTTTACAATTAATTGAATATAATATTTTAATAATTGGATCCTTCTACTTTCAAAAAAGGAGTCTCTTGTCGATAGCTTTCTTCATCACTGATGAGTTCCTTAGTCTTATTACGTACGCTCTAGTTTTAACTATTATGATGTTCCATTCCATTTTCTTTATTCGAACCTTGTATGCACTGTAACAAAAGTTTGGGACGCATCAAATATCTGACGAATGACTCATCTATTCTTTTTTTAAATTGGTAGGTTTAGGTTTGGAACCCCGGCGGATCCATTGATGACATCCGAGATGTACAGTTTTTCAGAAACTTTTGTTTTTCTCTTGGAATCATATATATTTTATTCGATGTTTGTATTCTGCCAAAAATTCTAAATACCTTTTGTCAAACATACTTTGACGTAGACCTCATAGTTTTTAAAATATTCGCGGTAAAACATTAATAATATTAATAATAATAATAATAATTAATAATAATAGTAATAATAATAAACGGCCTTTAAAAGAAAAACTTAAATTACACTTCTCAGAAAAAGGAAACAATCAATTACCCGTGGATATGCGTAATGTTAAATTCTAGCCATCCGATAGGTTTAAACTCATCTTTAATATTTTTAAAATTCCTTAGGCTATATTCTTTACACTCACTTGACAAGCAGTTAAATAGTTTGGGCGACCAGTACGAGAAACTACGTGTGAACAATGCTGTCGAATTCCGCGGGATAAGTAAGATGCATTTATTCCTAGAGATTCTTTGATCGTACTGACTGAGGAGGTTTAGCTTTGAATAAGGATAATATGGCACTTTAAGGAGAAGGGTCTTATGTACCATACATATTCAATGCAATTTCCTCAATTTGTTCATCTTCTCAGAAAAAGGAAACAATCAATTACCTGTGGATATGCGTAATGTTAAATTGTAGCCATCCGATAGCTTTAAACTTATCTTAATCTTTTTTAAAATTGCTTAGGCTATATTCTTTATATCAGTTGGACATTCCGGTTTTATACTGCTTTTTTTAATTCACTAACGCTCTAAAAATGAATATTTCAGCCGCAGTAAAGAATCAACGTTGGCGGATTTTGATAGGGGCCGTATAGTGGGACTTCGGGAAGCTGGACTTTCTTTTCGGGCAATTGCAGTTAGAGTGCTAAGAAGTGTAGACACTGTGGTTAGGTGTTGTCAGGCATGGCTTCGAGAAGGCCGTACGCAAAGAGCAAGGGGCACTGGACGCCGCCGTGGAACTACAGACCGTGAAGATCGCCGCCTAAGATTATTGACCTTAAGGGACTGTTTCTCCACTACCAGGTCCATTACAAATGAATGGTTTGCAGAACACGGAAGACCTATTGGCATGCGAAGTGTTTACCGACAAATGAGAAGTTTTGGCTTGTTTTCATACCGGCCACACTGGGTCCTCCCTTTAACTCGAGAACACCGACGTAATCGCCTTGAGTGGTGCAGACAACGGTCACTCTGGGATCAGGAATGGAACAGTATTGTCTTTAGTGGCGAGTCTCGATTTTGTTTAGGCATGCACGATGGTCGTGCCAGGGTTAGAAGGCGACGTGGTGAAAGGAGGAATCCACAGTTTTTTGTTAAAAGACATGTTCATCACACTGTTGGAGTTATGGTTTGGGGTGCTATAGCTTATGGCTCCAGGTCACCTTTAATCTTCATCAGAGGTAACATGAACGCGCAGCGTTATATCCACGATGTTCTAGAACCCCATATTTTACCCTATCTTGACACCCTGGCAGATCCAACTTTCCAACAAGATAATGCCCGACCACATGTTGCAAGAGTCACAATAGACTTCTTTCAACATAATGATGTCACATTGTTACCATGGCCACCAAGATCTCCCGACTTATCCCCAATTGAGCACGTGTGGGATATGATGGGTAGGAGATTGCTCAATTTGCAACGTCCTCCTCAGACTCTAGAAGCACTTCGAGAGGAGTTGGTGGTTGCCTGGAATGAGATACCACAGGAGGACATTGACCACCTGATCAGAAGCATGCCTAGGCGCAATAGTTTGGGCGACCAGTACGAGAAACTACGTGTGAACAATGCTGTCGAATTCCGCGGGATAAGTAAGATGCATTTATTCCTAGAGGATCTTTGATCGTACTGACTGAGGAGGTTAGCTTTGAATAAGGATAATATGGCAGAATAAGGAGAAGGGTCTTATGTACCATACATATTCAATGCAGTTTCCTCAATTTGTTCATCTTAATATGTAAGTTAATAAACAATGGACTCTTCAATGTCAGAAATGACAGGAAATTATTTTCCATACAGGTCATTGCTTATTTGAAAAAAATACCTTATTTTTATTCGAAAACTGTGAGGTCTACGTCTACGTATGATTTATAAAAGGTATTCAGAATTTCTCGCAGAATATAAATATCGGAAAAAATGTATAGCATTCCATAAGAAAAACAAAAGTTGCTATCAGTTTCTGGAACAACTGTAGATTTGGCAACATCGCGGATATCATCGCCGTGGTTTGTAACCTAAGCCTACCAATTTTTAAAAAAATTAGATGAATCATTCGTCCGATATTAGATGCGCTACAAACTTCTGTTACAGATCATTGTTTATTATAGTTTTATCTTTTATGCCACTTATTCATTGTTTGGACTTAGTTTGCTATGGTTTTATTACTTATACTTTTGAGTACCACCATTTTAACCATATGTGTGTGTATGGCCTGTAGTGTTTGTATTCATATATATACTGTTTGCTGATTGTTTTTCTTCTTGATACTAAGATTCTTCAATTATAACATCGCTCTGTACACATAAAAACGACCTTCATTATTATTATTATTATTATATTTGCCTTGTTCCAGGTATATGCCGCCGGTAACGCCATCCTTGTGGCGCAGTACGCGACTGGCGGACCAATTCGGCTCGGTCTGTCCGCAACGGTTGCCGGACATCAGCAACCGCACGGAAGCCCTTTTGGACTTCCCCAAAAGTAGGTTGCTGCTGCTCGAAAAGCTTCTGCCTCTCCTATCAAATCAAAGTGAGGACTGCCTTTACCTTAATCTTTATGTTCCTAGATTAGGTAAGAATAACCTTACTACTACTATGTGTACTGTGTGCTTGCTGGTTGTTTTTGCTGTATTTTTGTAAATATAGGCTATGTGTCAGGAATTAACCAACTTCTTTTTTAATTTGTGAGGCCATGTCGCACGGCTATCTTGCTAGCCAATTTAGCTCACGAATAGATAAGCTAACCATCAACGCAACCATGTGTTGAATTTGGGTTGAAACTAATTAGTTATCATTTATCTGGAGTCCCCTGTCATAAGTCTATACACATGAACCGACACCGTTACCCTCAAAGTCAACATTAATAATAGAGCAGCCCATTTGGAACACACCAAGATGCGTATACCTTTATTTTGTCTTAGAGAACTCGGTGGAGAGCCAAGTTTTTATATAGCACATGGCATACGGTGTAAACCGGCACATAGTAGCACTTACGCATACGACAAAGAGGTGCACTGTGGCTATTTCAGTGCTCGGCCATGAACGGTACAAGCATGGCCTTTGCTGTTGTTGATGCTTTTCTTAGTAGCGGAGTATATATTTTTTTCACCTTCAACATTTTATTATGGAGACAAGAAGCAACGCTGGTACGAGTTTGAGTCTTCAATTCCGTAGTGCATTGCAGTGTTTATAGCAGCAGTCTGCAAGCAGTGCGGAAGTGAGGATCCAATTCGTTTTTCGTCTAGAGAACATTCACACTGAAAGATTTATTATTCCAGGACTGCGTTACCAAATCGCATACATATAAGTAACTGTGAAATATTGGATGTGCTGCTACTATTGGACAAAGTACTAGGATTTGAGTAAAACAATATGTTTTCTAATCCAACAGCGTTTCGCTAATATTTATTGGAGTGCTACAAATAATGGTAATGAATGTGACTAAGACACTAAATACAGAACGCCTTATTCAAAATTGCCTACCGTAAAATTGTCGTTCACCAATTTCGTAAGAGATTTCCGGAAATATGCTGCAGACGGTCGCTTATTCATAATTTTGATGTTCAAACGAATACAGCGCTACAAAATAATGCTGACATTCTTATCACTACGTTGATATGTACCTCCCAAAACGAACTCGTTTTGAAACAGCATACGTATAAATTAAGTAGTGTAGTGATATGTTATGATGATCGCTATCAATATCAGTATTATAACAAAAACACCATTTTTTCTGTACAAAGTCTAATTTGTTACTCCACACGAATTTACAACACGTGCAACTAATTAATGGCAAATTTAGAACCATGTCGATTGGACTATGTTGAAGCATCGGTCGCTGTTCGTAGACTGTTCATCCACTGACGTCGCGTCCATATACCGAGAGTTTCAATTTAGGCCCCCAACATTGGAATTTCGGAAACAGAGATACGAAATCGCGTAAACGGGACAAAGCTGTGCATTTAGGTAAGTAACAAAATGCCGCCTAGAAAGTTTCGAAATTCAAAGTACTTCCGAAGAGACACGGAAAAGAATGATTTTTCCCAAAATCGTTTCCATTTTTCCATTCTTTATTTATAGTGGGATTTTAAAATAAATTTGCACATTAACATTGCCACATTTTTTCTCTACAAGACGGAATAATTAGAATTTCAATAAGATGTTTTACCTCTTGTCCTACAACATCAACTTTATTTTAAGACGCCATATTGGACTTTGCACAGGTTAACTCATTTATGCCTAAAGAGCTGCAAAACACCTTATTAAAAGACGACACTTTGGAAGTACATATTTTCAATTTATTCTAAAAAAAATACATAAACAGTTAGTTTTTTAGGATGTACTATGCATAGTACATTAGGAATAAAGGTGACTATAAGAATAATAATAAAAAAAATGAAAATAGTACAAATATTTTGAAACACATCAATATTGCAAATTTTAAAGAGTATGATATTGAACAAAACATTTCACGTGAAGGCCGACATCACATTTTCTACATCTACATCTAGTAGTCGTGCGCTCATGACAGTATGCACACCTTGTTTGTTTGCCTTGTGGAATGACTAAATGATCTAAGCGATCATACCTTATGTCACCAAAATTTCTTGATTTACCTTACTGGTACGTATACGTCTTCTTATTTTGTGTCAAGATAGCTGTAGCTACACGTCTTCTAAATTGTAATTGATCCACGTTATTTCCTCACTTTTTATAAATATGTCAGGCGTTTGTCAGGGCCATATCTACACATTGAGAGATCAACGAGAAATACCATTTTTTGCCTCGGATTTGTACTATGTATTGAGCTATATTCTGGTCTGACCTATCCACCCCGCTCATACATTTATTATACAGCTTGATAACTTGGGGATGATCTACATACACAAACTTTTTTCGTTTTGAGATTGCCGCTTTACTGAATTTACTGGTTCAATTCCAATCGCTGTAGACCCAAAAGTTACAATATTGTTCTCATTACATTTTACAACAATTAAGTTTTTATCTTTTACTTTGGTATAATCAAACACTCCGCGTTGTTCCTTTTTCATAAGTTTTGAATTTTTTAAAGAAGACATGGGTATACGATTTTCACGAATTGTTCCTGTACCACATATGCCTTTTTCAGTCAAGCTTTCAAACAAAGCTGGCTGCTTTTTAGCCTATCAGCATAGCTCAATACAACTGATGTGCCAACACCTAAAGATTTGTAAGCCGCGCTTACATACGTCGAAGCACCCTGATAAGGTTCAAACCATAAGATGTAACCAAGAGTAGTAGCGCCAATCCAAAATTTGAACCCATAACGTATTGGTTTCCCGTGGATATACTATTTACAACCATGTCGCCCGTAATATGGAACTATTGCCTCATCAATACTATGATGCTCTTCTGGTACTGCGTATTCAAAAAAATGTTTATTTAGGTGATTGAAAAGACGCCTTAGTTTAGTAAGTTTATCATTTGCATCCAGAGCTTCATTGTTTATGAAGTGCATGTGAGACATTATAAATAAACATTTATCGCAAGAAATAGCTTCAGAAACAAGTGAGTTGTGTGAATCACTGGATTTTTCCTAATACATCCTTCTGCGAGATACACTACTGTAGCCACTCAACAATAATATGCCTCGAAAATATTTTATTTCAGATTTGGTAACCATAATATTCCTGTTTTTCTGTTGAGCATACCGATTTGTCTCCTCAACTATTATGTTCAAAATTTCGTCATCAGAAGAACTAAAAAATAACTCGGTTGGGAACTGCTCTTGTTCATTTTGATTTTCGTTGTTTATTGGAAACGCATATTCATTTCGTGGTAAATCTTCTTTTACGTAATTGTATGTTTTCTTCTTTTTCGCTTCCTTCCGATTATTACCCCTGATTTCACTGAGTGGTATTTCATCTTCTGAACTCCACATATCCTCGTTTTGATTCTCATTTACTTCGACCTCAGCTTGCATAAGCTTCCTGGCAAGTTGTTGATATCCAGTCTTTCTTCATCTCCAGACTCCTCGTCGGTTACGTTACCGAATGAATTAGTGGGAGGTTACAAAGTGATATACTCAGCTTCAATGTCGTCATCTTCTATCATTGCTAGCGCCTCATGCAACGAAAAACCACTGAAACAAATGTTCCTTCTCAAAATAATTACTTATTCAAAAATAATTTACCTAAAACCATTTTATTTTTGTTTTGACTATGAACATATTCGTAGACCCCTTTTTTCCTGATGTACCAAATATAGTACACCTAACTTTATCATAACCTCACAAACAAAGCATAAATGAAACACATCATGAAATCATAAAATCTAGAACCCGCAACTAAGGAAATAATATTTTCATAAAAATAAACTATTTTTTTTTTATTTTATGTCATAAAAAACGTACCTACTTTGCAAAGCGCACGCCATATTCATTCATCTTGAATTTTCCAATATACAAAAACTGATTTCACATACAAAATATTGCACAATACCGCAAACTGTCGCCGCGAGCTATTCAATTTAACCAAATCGTACAGATATCTACAGGAACAAACAAGTTTATTCTGTACTATTCATAGTACATTAGGCATAAATGGGTAAATACAGTTTGCAATACTGATTCCTGAAATGTATAATACGTCATCCGTTGACATTGCCAAACCTTAGTTGCCACTTATAGAGCGAGATAGCACAATAAAATTTTCAATTTGAGGTTTTTTCCTTCCACTTCTAACTTTGTTTTTTTATATCGAGAATATATTGTAATTTTGTACATTTAAATGGACTTTTCAGTCATAAATTCAGTGATGTCCTTTGTTGGCTGAGCATTTGTTGTCGAAACGAAAATTATAATTAAATAAAGAGGCATGGTGGAAGTAGAATACAAAATGAAATTTTTAAATCGAATGAACCCCTATATGTGTGGTTCGAAATTTTATAGTTCAGGAGATATTTGAAATTTTGTGAAACTTCTAAAAAACGGGATAATGAACTATCAATCGCAATTACAACTAAACCATTAGGTTTTTTTTGAAATGAGCTAAATGGTTAGTTTTAGCAATGGTTATGCCACATTTAAATTCATTTTCTTTTTGTGAAAAATCACTTCCATCCCTCAACTTTGGAAAGCGGTAAAAAAAAATTGAGGTTGTATTTCAGTATTAATTTTATTGTAAAAACTATTTCAATCCATGTAGAATTAAGCCTAAAAATTTCAGCTTGCTAGGATAAGTGGCTCACCTTAAAAAATCTGTATGTTTGACACAGGAGGGTATCTACATGTAAACAAGAAACTATGTTTTACGAGCTACAGTCCAAACGACTTGATGGATATTGATATATGAGGTACTGTTATATTCGTCCTAGCAGTGCGAGTGATACTGTGTGTATTAACATTTTGTAAAACCAAAATGGCGGGTTTCTTACGCAAATAGCCAAATCAGCTTAATGAGCTTGGGCATCCAACTCGGCATTGCAGGTGCGGGAGCGTTCAATCTTTGGTACGACCGAAATTACTAAGTCAGGTAATGGTCCAGCGAGGAATTGTATCTGGCGTTTGGCATCTGAGTAGAATTATGTCATATTCTCCGCGAGATTATGCAGAAATTCATTACTATTATGGTGCTGCTCTAGGAAATGCTCGAGCAGCTGCTCGCATGTATCGGGAGTGTGTGGTTGGAAG